TCCTGCGATGGCTGGAACTTTGAAGACTAGTCATCCATTTTTTTGGGGGGTGCTACCTTAACAGTAGTTTTGATTTATGAGAAAAGCAAATATATTTATTAAATGGTTGTATCATATATTTGGATTCCATTATACATCACTTAGAAACTTTTAGGCTTTTTTAGGCCAACTGTGAAAGCATTTCTTCCAATTAACAAAGATATTTGCCATATACTGCTTTGAGATAAAAAATAGAACCCTTCAACATTCCCCAGTAATATAGTATGACAAACATGTAAAATTATTTTGACCTATTACTGTTTTATGAATTGAGTATTACCGTATTTTTCAGAGTATAAGATGCACCTTTTTGCCTCAAAAAAGAGGCTGAAAATCTGGGTGCGTCTTATACACTGAATACAGCATTTTTTTGTCTCTCGAAGCCCCACCCCTTCACCAAAATGGCCATGCATACCCTTATGGAGGCTTTCAGAGCTCCTGGAGGCTGGGGAGAGCAGAAATGAGCAAAAAATGGAACGTTTCTCCCCCCACAATCCCCAGCAGTACTTTATGAGCCTCCATAAGGCTATGCATGCAATTTTTATGACAAAAAATGGGCCTGTTTTCGCAAAACGCGGGCCATTTTTTGCTCGTTTTTGGTCCCCCCCCCCAGGAGCACTCTGCAAGCCCCCTCCAACACACTTCATGTCTTTTTAAAAAAAACGGGAGGCTTGCAGAGTGCAAAAACTTTTTTTCCCCTTTTGAAAAGCTCTTTAACTGATTGATGAGAATTACATAGATCAAGTGCTGTGCCAGCAGAAAGTCTTAGGTACTACAGATTGTCAGCGATTTCCTTCTCCAGCACATGGATAAATACACCTGGAAACGTACCTACCTACCTACCTACTTTCTCTCTCTCTCTCTCTCTACCTATACTGTATTTCTTTCTCCCCGCCCTCTATCTACCTATGTACCTACCTACTCTCTCCCTTCCTATCTACTGTCTATTTCTCTATTTCTACTCTCTCTATTTCTCTCTCCATCCCTCTACCTACCAACCTACCTACTCTCGCTCTCCCTATCTACTGTATTTCTCTCTCTCTCTCTATTTCTCTCTCTCTGTCCCTCTACCTACCTACCTACACCCTTTCTCTCTCCCTACCTACCTACTGTATTTCTATGTCTATCTTTCTCTATTTCACTCTCTCTCCCTTTATCTACCTACCTACCGAACTACTCTCTCCCTATCTACCTACTGTATTTCTCTCTTTCTCTCCCTCTCTATCCCTCTATCTACCTACCTACTTTTTTTAAAAATTTGCCTCTTCAAAACCTTGGTGAGTCTTATACTCCGGTGCATCTTATACTCCGAAAAATACGGTAAATAAAGAGGGGTTTTTCATGACAAGGATTCTATTTCTTGCTTCTGGTAAGGCTGGGTCAGAACACTCACCTTCTAGGCTGATCTGTGGTGGCTGGTTGTTAGGAGGGGCAGAAGTTTTGAGGAAACTGTTCCTCAATCTTGTCTGAACCTTTGGAGGTTGATGTCGGTTTAATAGCTGCGTTTCTGTAGATGTTGCTTTAACCCAGTCTTTCTGTGCAGCATTTTCTCAGCAGAGTTTTGAAAGGGGGGGGGGAAACCAGTTAGATCAGGGGCTCCTGACCTGTAGGCTCTGGACCACTATTGGGCCACAAGGGGTTTGCAACCGGGCCTTGGAAATGGTCAGTGAGCATGCACA